TATATATATATATATATATATATATATATATATATATATATATATATACTTATTAATTTTTATTGAAGGGCAAGAGTTTTAAGGTAGGTATCTAATTAGCAATTCAACGCGATTCATTGACTTTTCAGCTGGTTTTCAAGTTGTTGCCCAACCAGTTGGACTCGACGGTAGAGCGATGGTCTCGCTTCATGCAGGCCGGCGGTCAATCCCCGACCGTCTAAATGATTAAACACCTGTCCATTACCCCCCCCCCTCCCCGTTCCATCCCAAATCCTTATCCAGATCCCTTCCAAGTGCTATATAGTCGTAATGGCTAGTTGCTTTCTCCCAATAGTTCCCTACTCCTTGTCAAGCTGTTGAAGGTCATAAGAGATGTTCTGTAATGGATGAAGGAGAGTTTCAGGAAACACTAAAGCCATATAATAGGATCAAGCCAGCATCTCTCAACCCGTCAGGCACACACACACTACCGACTGAACCATGACATGCCTGAGGCGATCAGGCATATCACGTTCTTCTGATTTTCTTATTTTCTTGTGCAAGGAAGGCTAATATTGAGATTAATAACGACTTGTTTCGTCACACAACATGAATGAGCAATACCCAGATATCCTACATAATGCTGTCTAGAGAGATGATGAATGAGACGATATCCATCATGTCAGAGGGATGATAACGCAAGCTTCAGGTGTCACTGGAGTGGGAGGAAGTATTAATCACGGTGATGGACACAGTTGCCTGAGGTGGATCAGTCCTGTCTCTCCCTCAGCCACTGTGATGCCATCTCTGGCTATCCTGCTGCCTGATGCAACCTATGGCTATCCTGTTGCCTGATGCTACCTATGGCTATCCTGTTGCCTGAAGCTACCTATGGATATCCTGCTGCCTGATGCTACCTATGTCTATCCTGTTGCCTAATGCTGCCTATGGCTATCCCGCTGCCTGATGCTACCTATGGCTATCCTGCTGACCTAATGCTACCTAGTCACAGCTTTTCTTATCTCCTCCTCTTTCCTTCACTCTACAGCCCTTCCACCCTTTCCCTTTCCATCCTTCCCTGCCTTTCCCATCAGTCTTTCCCACTTCCCTTCCTCGCTCCCTCCTACCCTAAGGTAATGTGTCGTTCCATTGGCTTCCGACATGTTTTACCTGCGCATTAAACATTAAAATACTTTATTGTGTAAACCAACGCTACACAGTTTGACAAAATGGGTCAAGCAGTTTTTATGCTGTCAGGAGAGAGATGAGCTTTGTGTGTTGGAGTGACAGGTGTGGGAGTGACAGGTGTGTGATTGACGGGTGTGTGGGGAGTACAAGCCTGGCTGCAGGCAAGTGAGCGTGGAAGTTGTGTAGGAGTTAAAATCTTGGTTGCAGACAAGTCCTATATGTGTGTGGCGAGCCGTGTGGGATTACACACCTGGCAACGGGAAGATAATTACACCAGCAGGTGTGTGTGATGGCTGCCGTGCTGCCATTGTTGCTCTGAGACTCGATATCCGGAGGGATTGGTGGGGGTAGTGGTGGTTGGGGAGGTATTGGTGGGGGGTAGTGGTGGTTGTGGAGGTATTGGTGGTGGTAGTGGTGGTTGTGGAGGTATTGGTGGGGGTAGAAGTGGTTGGGGAGGTATTGGTGCTGGTAGAGAAGAATGAAGAAGTGTTACAGGTACTGGTAAAACAGGTGTTTGTGATATAGATGGTGGTAGTTGTGGTTATTGTGTCAGTAGTAATGGTGGTAGTGGTGCTGTTATATATATATATAATGTTTATATGGAAGTGATGGTGATCGTGATGGTGATAGTGCTGTAAAAGCCACTGTACCAATAGTGACTGAATCACTAGCATATCACCACCAACGACATACGCACAGCCACCTACACCATGACGGGCTGGTGGTCGCAGGAGAGAGAGAGAGGATCCATCAGCCTCTTCCTGCTCTCTTCTCCCTGGAGTCTGAGATTCCCGTAAATCTTCAGCAGCTTGGAGTCTGATCCCACGGAGATAACCTCGAACCCAAACCAGGAAAAGTGCACCTCATCCTTCCGTTCACAAGACCCGTGGAATATTTCCCTTAAAGATGCGCCATTCCAGGATGCGATCATTAACGTACGAAAGGTCTGATTACCTTCGTAACTACTCGTGTACATAATGAAAGTAGTTCGCTTGTTTTCACATTCCTGTTACGAATTTCCCGCTCTCACGGGAGGGAAAAGTTGGTCGAGTTTTAGCAGTGATTGGTGAAGGCTCGGGGACAGGCAGACAACTCATATATATATTCTGAGGCAGGGTCTACAGGGCGTAAGGGAAGCTGTACGCAAGAATACTGGTCTCTTTTACCTGATTTTTTGTGCTTTTGTTCATATATTGGGACCATTTTATTAGTCTTCCAATTATTTAGGTTTATAAATGTGTGTGTATATGTGTGTGTGTACACACACACACATATATATATATATATATATATATATATATATATATATATATATATATATATATATATATATATATATATATACATATATATATACATACATATATATATACATACATATATATACATATATATATATATATATATATATATATATATATATATATATATATATATATATATATATATATATATATATATATATATATATCACAGAAATATCAGAGTCGCATATGCAATCTATTATTCAATTAACTCTCATAAACAACATTCTTCACTTTTCAATATGAATACCACATGCAAATTAGGTCCCCGGGCTTATTAACAGTGCTATGAAATAAAGTGAGAAATCATTTATGCAAATTTGAGCGTTTAACTCGTGACTGAAATATATAATAGTGTCTCCTCAATGCTGCAAATATTTTATGTCAAATCTCACAAAATCTGATTGATTATGCTAATATCTGAGCGGAAATGTCTCTTAGAACTCGTATCTGATTTATGAGGAAATTGTGAGGTGTGCCAGTGTGTTGAATTTGGACTATCATTGAAGGCCCTATTGCACTTATGCAGGTCACTGGAAGTTTAACAGCATTTATCTAGGTCACTGGAAGCTCAATTGCAATTCGCTTGGTCATCGGAAGTTCAACAAACCTTCACTAAGTCACTGCGAATTGAATCACACTTTACAGGTCACTGAAAGTTCGATATCACCTGATGCCCCTGCTCACCTTGCAGCAAGTATCTGTCTGGAAGTTAGGCAGGTGCTGTGGACTGCATCATGACGAGGTGAGTGTGTTTGAGTTTGATATATATATATATATATATATATATATATATATATATATATATATATATATATATATATATATATATATATATATATATATATATGTGTAAAAGAAATGACAGGAAAATAAGCTGGGAGTCAGGATATTCGACAACCGACGGTTAGAAAGATGGGGTCCAAGAGCTAACAGCTCCACCCTGCGATCACAGCACACACACACATATACACTGAGATGTTCCTGTTTTATAGAGTAAAACGGACATTTGTCTATGGATGTCTGGGTAGACATTGGTTATTTAATGGCGACTGCTCTATTGACCATTGCCGAATTGCATAGGAAACAACGAATCACTTAATTATTCTTATGTTAGATCCCATTATTAATTCTTATGTTTATCCCATTATTACGTTGAAGAAGAGCACTCTTTGCCCACCTCCCCTCCTAAGGAACATTGACAGTTATCGTAAATGATTACTGAGGTTTCTTAAGGAGAGTTTGAAGAGCGGATTTATATTTTGAACGACGGTGCATTATTGTCTCAGATGAAGCCCTCGGTGATGGCTGTCTCACAGAGGCACCAAATATATCATTCAGTGAAAAGACAAAACTGACATGTTATGAATAATTTAAGAAATGGAAACTGATAGCAATCTGTCCATCACAAGACACTATTAGCCTTTGACAGTCCGAAAAATTAATACGCTATTTCTTTTTTACTTTTATTGAAAATTAATAATAATAATCTTATATTCCATGATCATTCGAGACTACTCAATACCAATCCTGTTTACATATATTACAATTCTTTGCTATAAAACCCAAACCCTATCAATCCCTTTTCCAGAATGTTTAGGCATGACAGAATCTAAATTCAACAAACGAACATAACTCACTAATCCTTATGCAGAATTCCCCATGGGTTGAAATATACACATATGGAACAAACCTGATCTGTGTGTGTGATGATGTAAGGGCGAAGAGGGAGAACGGCCTATTGACATAGCTCGGGTGCAGGGGGGAGTTGTGTAAAATCCTGGTTTGTGTCTCGGAGAGGCTACGGGATCCAGTAAGTTCAGTAGAACTTCGGTTTCAACCCTTTTACCCTGTCGTAGCTCCGTCGATTAAGGCAGTGTCTGGGATGCTCCCGGACGCAGGTTCGAATCCTCGTCACGGCCCTTGTGGATTTGATCATTTGATGCATCACGTTAGTGTGATCTGTGTGTGTGTTTGCTTGCCTAGGACTTAACAAGCGCGGATAATAACCTTTTATCATTATAGTTAAATGCAGCAGACCCATTCGTTCCCCCACACTGTAGACCTACCACAGTGTGGGGGACGAATTGGCCACATATACGACAGTTGGGGAAATTCTCTGTTGGGATCGGTAATACAAAGAAATTTCGAATCCGTCAAACACACACCGAAACTACGACGTTGGTACAACGTTCAAACAAGTTTTAACACCTCCTAACCAGTTATAACAACCAATATAGCAAGTTGTAACAACGTTCTAATACGTCATAAAAAATTATATAAAGAAAAAATAAGTTCTTACAACTTTATTACAAGTTGTAAGAAGGGAATCATAGGTACCATTACGTAGTGTGTTTGTTATATGATATATGATATATGAATGATATGATATACGTAGTGTGTTATATAGTTAGTGTGGATATATGAATGGAGATGGTATATTAATTCCTAAATGCTGTATTTTAAACGCTTCGATTTACACGCAAACGAGTTTAAAAACCCAAAGGAAACAAAGAAATTGGAACTTACCTGAAGAAGTAGGTTCTAAGTGCGTCCGTCGAGCTGTGGAACAGTATTCACCTGTAAAGACATGAACAAGAATTATTAATTTGCCTTCATAAAAACCTCATACATCACAAGTGTGATACAATAGACCACACGCCAGAAAATGAATTAAAGACAACGTTTCGGTCCGCTCCTTGACCAAGACATGACTTAATAATGGTCCCGGACGGACCGAAACGTCGTCGATTGTAACTGTAAGGTGTGAAGGATAGATGAAATTGTTTGTTATAATCTAAGATGAGGTCTGATAAAGACCTTTTGTGCCCTCTGTAATGCTTTTGCGCTACCGCTCACAGGATGAGTATGGGGTGCACAATAAACTAGCCGCCTTCGGCGGCAACAATCAAATCATCGTTGTTTCCTACTGTACAGTTTAGTCATCAAATCTTCAGCCACGTTACTGTGATTCATCGTCTGTATAACACAATCATCAAATGATCACTTTTTAATCCAAATATATACATATAAAAGATGCAGATGATAGAGGTAAACACTTTAGAATCGAGATAATGCTTACTCATTTCCTGAAGGGAGAGGGTGATTGGGTCCAATCACGACACGCTGTGATTGGCCCAAAACTGACTGAGTAGATGTTCGCGTACATATATATGAGATTTTCGATCACTAGACAAATCGTCCAAGACGTCTTACATATTCAACACAAACACTTAGAAAAAAAACTCCACGAATACACGTATGTAATTTTGCCACAACATTAAGTTTGAATTCGAATAGTATTTCGTCCAAAACATTTTTATCACGTTAGTGAGCATTTAATCACGTTAATAAGTAATGGCGTATCCTGTTTGGCGTCCCACTTATGCTCACTAATAACCAAGGAAGCACTTTTAGGAGTTTGAAAGGTAAGAAAAGTAATTAAAAGTATCCGCGTCAGTTATAAACACTTTAGTGCGTTCACGGGAAAGTTCTTGTTATATGAAGCTGATTCTTGGTCAACACCCAACCCAATATGCGAGTGTAAACATCATATTTATTGTGTTTATATGCGGATGTTGAGTAAAATGTTAGCCCTCCATCATCCCATTCTCCATCTAAAAGAAAAAATCCACAAGGGCCGTGACGAGGATTCGAACCTGCGTCCGGGAGCATCCCAGACACTGCCTTAATCGACTGAGCTACGACAGGGGTCCAGATATCTCTCTCATCTAACTCACAGCCTCCAACCTTTGACCTGATATCTTGAAGTCATGATCATCTTCCCATCCGAAAGACGAACATCATGATATATATAGACCACTACAACTCTCAAATAAGAACTATATTGGAATACTTGTCATTAATTCCGGGTTCCTGAACACAATTTCTTTAAAGTTGTCAGAAAAATTAAAAATATGGGTCTTCTCATCTAGCGAGAAGCACAAAAAGTTAATGTAGTTGACCCAATTGCGTAAATCCAAACTCGCCACCACACAAGAAATGGGGGGCTGGTATGTGTGTATTTTGTAAAAGTTAAAAATGACATTTACCCCCTATTTAGGTTCTTTACAAGTTCTTGCGTCAGGAAGAAACGACCAAACAATAGGGGCGATATGTAACAGTCAGAAGGACGTTCCTTGCGCACGAACACACATGAATTTCGACCGTCTTGTGTCTTGAAATACACCAAATTGTGGAAACCAATTTTGTCTACAGGCGGGACACTATATACAGCTAACGTACATTACAACACTGGCAAATGAACGTTTAAATAACGCATACAATACTATTCAATTAAATGAAAACACTGCAAAACACATGAATAATAAGCACTGCAGGCCACAGTCACAACCACCACTGCAGGCCACAGTCACAACCACCACTGCAGGCCACAGTCACAACCACCACTGCAGGCCACAGTCACAACCACCACTGCAGGCCACAGTCACAACCACCACTGCAGGCCACAGACACAACCACCACTGCAGGCCACAGACACAACCACCACTACAGGCCACAGATACAACCACCACTACAGGCCACAGAACCAACCACCACTGCAGGCCACAAACAACCACCACTACAGGCCACAGACACAACCACCACTGCAGGCCACAGACACAACCACCACTACAGGCCACAGATACAACCACCACTACAGGCCACAGAACCAACCACCACTGCAGGCCACAAACAACCACCACTACAGGCCACAGAAGCAACCACCACTGCCTGGGGGAACCTCCAACTGTGCTTGACTGCTCAAAAGTTATATGTTAAACTTTTAATTAAATTTTATCTGTGAAATATTCTGGAGCAATGTGTTGCTTCGTTTGGTGGACTCTCTGGTGTGAGGTAGTGTGAGGTGGAGGCCTCCTGGTGTGAGGTAGTGTGAGGTGGAGGCCTCCTGGTGTGAGGTAGTGTGAGGTGGGGACCTCCTGGTGTAGTGTGAGGTGTGGACCTCCTGGTGTAGTGTGAGGGAGACCTCACAGTGTGAGGTGGCATAGGTGGAGAGAAGGGTGTGTACTACATGGCTGGAATGGGAGTAAGTATTGGTTGTATTGGAGACAATGGAGTGTCAACAGAGAACAATGCTATTGGGTGATGCTGCTGGATAAGCCTCTGGTGGATGAACCCACAGAGTACAGTGCTGGATAAGCCTCTGGTGGATGAACCCACAGAGTACAGTGCTGGATAAGCCTCTGGTGGATGAACCCACAGAGAACACTGCTGATAAGCCTCTGGTGGATAAACTCACAGAGAATACTGCTGGATAAGCCTCGGGTGGATGCATCAACAGGCAACACTGGTGGATAAAACACTGGCGATAGAGGAGGAAAAACAAACGCAATAAAAGAGCCGGAGTAAACTCCATTAATCAGAAGATCGTGAGGGGCGAGCCAGCGAAGATTAAACTTAATGGAACCGGCGAACGAACGTGGCCTCGAAGGCTCTCGACAGGATGAGGCGAAATGGAGCAACTGGAAGCTGGGAAAAAAAACAGGGATTAACCGTCGGACTCAAACACGGAAGGAAACACCGCTGGTTCCTCGCTTATTTTGCTGCGATGTTTATTGTGACGAGATAAACACACTGTTTTTAGTGTTTTAAGTGTGTTAGTGTTTGAAGTGAGTTAGTGGATGATTAGAGATAGATCAGTGAAATTATATCACTTCCCTTCGAAACATTAATTGCTTCTATTATTATTTCTGATAATGCTGTTACTACAACTACTCCTACTCATGAACAAATCCACAAGGGCCGTGACAAGGATTCGAACCTGCGTCCGGGGGCATCCCAGACACTGCCTTAATCGACTGAGCTACGACAGGGTTAAAATCGTCGAAACGGAAGTTTTCACTAAGTAAAGTAAAAGGTTGAAACCGAACTTGTGGATTTGTTCATTTGATGCATCACGTTAGTGTGATCTCTGTGTGTGACTCCTACTCATATTACAAGTACTCCCACGTCTGTTACTACAACCAGTTGTATTAATTGCATTTCATCTTTGTAAACGCACATTAATGACTATGTAAAAGATACCTCGAACACCGTTTATGTAGGACTGACATAAATCTATGTATTTAGGTAAGTTTAAGATTTTAAAAGCTCTACAATCACCTTCTGTGGTTGATTGTTCAATAAATCAATTATATGTTTAACAGATCTCTAACCCTGTCCATGGAGGACAGACAAAAATGTATGCTGGTTAGCATTGTAAATGTCTAGCCACGTCTGTGGTAAAATAATAATAATAATAATAACAACAATTACTATAACTAGTACTCTTACAACTACTAATACAACCAGTCTGTTGTAGTAATAGCAGTCTGTTGTAGTAATAGCAGTCTGAGTCACTCGAGCTCGGTAAACAATCGAAGAAATATTATAGAAAAATCCAGTATTAGTTTTTAAGAGGATAAAGACTTGAATAACAAGAGGAGAAAGTTCTCTATAAGAGGATTTTCTTAATAACTTTTCAATATATGCAGTTTTTTTTTTTTTTAGAGTTGAAGCACCAGTCGCCTCCTCCAGCTTCGTTAACGCTATATTTTTCGTGTCTTGGGAAGGACAGATTTTCATCAATTTCCATTCCTAATGTGATAACTGATGCGTCGTATATCAGTGCGCTCTCTCGTGTAGTCATGACAGGGCGGTGTATCTGGAGGCTGGTTGAGTAGGCCATCAATTGACTGTTTCCTGGGGGAAACAGTCAATAACCTGCCGTCAATATTTTCATCTATAACCTTCCACCGTCGGTCCTAACCTAATAGCTTAAAGGGTTTCGTTGTAAGCCCACTACGGGCTCACCATAGCCCGTGCTACTTGGAACTTTTTCTTCCAGGTAGTAAATCTTAAACAACAACAGGGTTTCGTTGATGTAATTGATGTTTTATTTCCTCCTGAGAGGGAGAATAGTGTTCGATCAAACTACCCTGGGATGCACTGGCTTCGGTTTTATGCTCACAGGATTACTATAATATTTATAACCACGAGGAAAGTTCTGTTACTTAAGACGAATTGAATGACAAGGAGAAACTTGCCAAATCTCTTAAGCTTACACATGATTTGTTGATGTCAGACCATATTATTAGGTTTATTATTTTATTTTATTGAGAAAATTCCACAGGAGCTGTGATAAGGAGTCGAACCTATGCAATGGGTATTCCCAGACACACGCTCTAGACAACTAGGCCACATCATGGTCAAAAGAATTGCAACCTGGGGTTCAGGTGAACCCACGAGGATTCCCGGGGCTTCCACCGAAGCCGGACCAGATTTCACACATTTCCTCCCATGCACTTTGGCTTTGTCGTCTAGGAATTCTACCTCTGACTTTAAGAAATTCTACCTCTGTAAGAGAAATTACAGTAAGGCGATATATGACTGATATATCTCAGTAACGTTATATATGACTGATATATCTCAGTAACGTTATATAGACTGATATATCTCAGTAAGGTGATATATCAATAAGAAAATCCAAAGGACCCGTGATAAAGATTCCAAATGTGTGTCAGGCCAGACGTGGCCAAATGTGCGGCCACCTTTGTGGACAAAAATAATAACAAAATAAA